GCCTTCCCCATCCCCTGGGAGGCCAGAAAAGGCCCGTTTGCCAACTTCCGGCAAACAGACCGTTTCCGGAGGGCCTCTGGGGGGGTGGGGAAGGCCGTTTTCACCCTTCCCAGGCTCCTAGAAAGGCTCTGGAGCCTGGGGAGACAGAAAAACTGGCCCTCCCCACACCCCTCAGACCCTCCAGAGGCAGGAAACAGCTTGTTTCCCTACTTCCAGTGGGCCCAGAAGGCCTGAAAATCAACTGGTGAGCTGAGCTCCCGTGCCCACTGATATGGCTCCGTGTGCCACCTGTGGCACGCGTGCCATAGGTTCGCCATCACGGGTCTAGTGCTTAAAATACCAGCGTAGAAAGTGGGAGATGATGAATTCTAGTCTCACTTTAGGCATGAAAGCCGACTAAGTGACTTTGGGCCAATCACCAGGAGACGGTGAGTTCTGGTCCTGCCTTAGCCATGAATGCCAGTTGGGTGACATTGGGCCAATCACCAAGAAACTGTGAGTTCTAGTTCCTCCTTAAGTATGAAAGCTAGCTGAGTAACGTTGGGCCAGTCATACTCTATTAGACCAACCTATCTCAAGGATGGTGGTTGTATTGGATATGTTCCCCTCCTTGAGCTCTTTAATAAAGATTAACCAATAAAATTTGTTTCTCGTATATCACCTGGCTCTGTGGAAAGACAGTATCTCGGGTTTCCAAGAAACAGATCTGCATATATGAATGATTTCCGTTTTTCCTCCCAGAACGCACCGTCCTGAAGGAGAGCTGCCCCACCGCTCCCAGCCGAAGCCATGGCCACAGTGGTGGCCAAACGGGAAGGCCCCCAGTTCATCAGCGAAGCAGCCGTCCGGGGAAACGCAGCCATCCTGGATTATTGCAGGACGTCCGTCTCCGCTCTCTCGGGAGCCACCGCCGGCATTCTCGGCCTCAACGGCCTCTACGGCTTCATTTTCTACTTCCTGGCCTCCGTCTTACTCTCGGTGCTTTTGGTGCTAAAAGCCGGACGGCGATGGAACAAATATTTTAAATCCCGAAGGCCTCTCTTTACCGGAGGACTGATCGGGGGGTTATTCACATATATTCTCTTCTGGACTTTCCTCTACGGCATGGTGCACGTTTACTAGGAGGAGGAGGAAGGTATAGCCAGAACGGTCGTGAGGAGAGACGGCTCGCTCCTTCCTCTCTGATGCCCTAGAACGGGGATCCCGACCCATTGCTTGCACTCTTCACGCGCTCCCTAACCTATGTCAGAAAGCAAGAACCCTGCTAATGAAACAGAATGTGAAACACCCCCCTCCCACCTCCTCGGTCTTTAAAAATGACATGTAAATAACCCAGTCCAGAGGACGTCTCCGTTCTCCTCGGTTTATCCCTCTGCCACAAGGCTGCTAGAATTCTCTTCTAACCCCCTTTAGCCCAACCTTCCCTTCGGAGACTTTCCTTGCTGTGTAACCAGATCTTCTATTTTGGAGAGGAAAAAAAAAATCTATATCAATATCCCATGCTTGATCGATTTTGTACGCACCTTGGTTGAAAGGCTTCAGGAAGGAAAACACAAGTTTCCACAGCCTGACTACAGGCAGGTTGTAAGGGGTGGGTGGGTGGGTTGAGTGGGCTTGGCCTGAAGCTGCTTAACTTCCAAGTAAACATTTGCAACGAGTTAGGTGGGAGTTTTATTTTGAAGGTGGTGGTGGGGATTTATAGCCATCTCCATAATAGCAATAGCACGTAGACTTATATGCTGCTCCACAGTGCTTTTACAGCCTTCTCTAAGCGGTTTACTCTTGCCCCCAAACAATCTGGGTCCTCATTTTACCTACCTCGGAAGGATGGAAGGCTGAGTCAACCTTGAGCCTGGTGAGATTTGAACTGCCAAATTGCAGGCAGTCAGCAGCAGAAGTAGCCTGCGCTACTGCACTCTTAACCACCGTGCCACTGTGGCTCATAATCAACACAGCCAGCATGGTGAGAGGTGATGGATACTGGATCTTCACATTTGTTATGTATCACCTCAAGTTCAGTAGAGATCCAGTTTTCTCATACCTGCTCAAGGTACTGCACGGGTCTCCAAACTTGGCAACTTGGAAGACGTGTGGGCTTCAACTCCCAGAATTCCTCAACCTTTCTAAATTAATCCTCATATTTCTGTGTATTTAGTATTCTCTGTGCAGGGATTTCTGGGAAAAGGTGCTATCAGGCTCCAGGTTTTTTTACTTTAAAAGGAGGAATTTCTGGAATCTTGAGTGAAATCAGTGGCTACTGATAACGATAAGTGGTATGAATTAGACCGAGATGTTGCTTTCTTAATCTAGGCTTAACGGTGGATCCTGGCTGGCAGTGATGAGAAACAGGCTGTTAAAATGGATTTTTTTGACAGTTCTGGTTCCTTTTTAGGGAACATTGAAGTTACACAGAACGGACCGCAAACTTTTCACTCACTTCCTTTTATTCTTTACATTCTTAAAGGCCACGTAATCCAGCTTTCATAAACCACACAGCAAAATAACTATTTTTTTTCGTGCGTGCATGGTTTTGGAGACGCAGGAGAGAGTGTCTATGAACTTGGGGAAAAAAGTCAAAAGGTCTTCTTTTTCTGACTACATCAAATGGTTCTTCACTGGTACTTTCGTGAAATAAAAATTTGGGGGAAATCGCGCGTTCCCAGCAAATGCATTTTTTGTCACAATATCCCATTTGCGTTTGTTGCTTCCTTGTTCTCGGCAAAGAAACTAAACTTCAGTCTGTGTTAAGAGATGTCCAACCTAGGCAACTTTTAAGACTGGTGGACTTCAACTCCCAGAATTCCCCAGTCAGAGAATTCTGGGAGTTGAAGTCCACCAGTCTTAAAAGTGGCCTGCTCTATTGCTTTGATTCGACATTGTTAACGACAACTAGAATCTTAGAAACCTGGTTTATTCTCCTGCCGCACAATTTATGTTTGCCAATTTATGCCTAATTACGGGAATCCCTTTCGGGTTTTTAAATCACAGCGTTGGTCCTGATAAGAGTTGTAGCTTTCCCCTGCTACAGGCAGTCCTCGACTTAACGGCCAAAATTATGACTGTGAAGTTCACGACAGGCAGTCCTTGACTTAACGGCCACAATTGAGCCCAAAACTTCCGTTGTTAAGTGAGTTTTGTCCCGTTTTTACTATCTTTCTTAGCCACCATTGTTTCGGTGAATCGCTGCCGAATCGCTTACCGTTAGTAACGCGGTTGTTAAGTGAATCCGGGCTTCCCCATCGACTTCACCCGTCAGAAGGTCAGGGGATCGCATGTCCCCGGGGCACCCCACTGTCATAAATGTTGCCAAGCATCTGAATTTTGATCACCTGACTCTTGAGGATACGGCAATCGTCGTAAGTGTGAACAACGGTCATAAGTCCCTTTTTCCAGTGCCGTTGTAATTTTGAATGGTCACTAAATGAACTTTTGTAAGTCGAGGACTATCGGTATTCACTCACCTCCCCAGTGAAACCTACACCAGTTCTGACACGCTCCCTCCCCACAATGACACACACACAGGTATGTATATAATTTTCCTCTTTTATTGTTTTTATAAATTACTTAAGGTGGTGAACATACTTAATACTTCCTCCTCCTCCTACTTTCCTCACGACAACAACTCTGAAAATATAAAGGAAAGACAGGAAATGAGGAAAAAAGCCCAAACTGAAAAAAAAGAAACTGAAAAAAAAGAGAAAGAAATAGCTTCCAATTCTCTTTGTGGCAATTATTAATAAACAAATGCCACATTATCTCTTACTCTACAGTTTTTGTTGTTTTTTTAAAAAAGAAACCTCTCTGACCTATTTCTTCTCATCATCAAAATCATGTTTTATTTTTTTTTAAACTTCTTTTTCAGTTCCACCCATTTATTTTTTTTTAAGCATACAGAAATTCCTGCTGAAGCAGCCATCTGGAGTATGGCTTGTGATTCCGTAGATAATATTCTGATTTAATTCCTGCGACTTGCCATTCCGTGCACCGGTCATAAAACAAGACCTGGGTTGTGTTTAAATTCATACCATAGGCATAAAAAAAAATAAAATCCAGTCTCTTTTTTTCCCTGAAGTGGAGGTTCAAGACATGCCAATGACCAACCCATCTTCATCGTGAAGTTATGTTTCATGAGTTGGTTGGATGGTGGAGAATTGTTTATCCATGTTGCAGGAATTTATTTAGGATTCCCGCATAATCCCACAGACTGGAGAATTGTTTATCCACGTTGCAAGAATTTATTTTGAATTCCTGAATAATCCCACAGGCTCAACAATTTGCAGGAAGAGATTCAAAATGGACAGCAGAATGGGAAGAAGATGATTAAAGCCTTACTATTGTATAATTTCCAAGAATGCTCAGAATATCATTATTCTCAGAGTCGCTTTGAAGTGCGAGATGGACGGCGAGTAAATTTGGCAATTACAGGTAGTCCTCAACTTACGATCACAATTCAGCCCAATATTTCCATTGTTAAGAGACATTTGTGAAGTGAGTTTTGTCCCCGTTTTACGACCTTTCTTGCCACGTTTGTTAAGCGAACCACTGCGGTTGATAAATTAGTAACACGGTTGTTAAGTGAATCCGGCTCCCTCATTGACTTTGCCAGTCAGCAGGTCGCGAAAGAGGATCACGTGACTTTGGGACACAGGAACGGTCATCAGTATGAGCCAGTTTTGATTTTGATCACAGGACCAAAAGTTCGTCAAGTGTGAAAAATGGTCATAGGTCGCTATTTTCAGTGCCGTTGTAACATTGAACGGTCACTAAATGAACTGTTGTAAGTCGAGGACTGGGGCAAAAGAAAGCAAGGTAGTATCCATAGTAACAGATGCCTTGGGGGCAATCCCAAAACATCCTGAGCACCACTTGAAGGCCATTGGCATTGACAAATTCGCCATCAGTCAATTACAAAAGGCAGATTTACTCATAACAGCTGACATCCTTCGACGAGGATTTTACCACCATCAAATATCCACATCTGCCTTTTCTGGGGTCTTGGGAAGGATTTTATTTTTTATTTTTTTTCATCGTTTAATGACCTCGTAATCTGTTGCGGGTTGGAGTCGGGGCAGCTGAATGGAGCTGAGTGTTTATTGGCCGGATGCCTTTCCTGTCGCCGATGCGGAAATTTTGCGGCAGATCTATTCTCATTGCGCCCTGAGAGAGAAATATCAGCCGCTACACCTAGGATCGAACTCAACAGCCACCTGATTGCGAGGCGAGAGCTCCACCTCTAGGCCACCGCACCGTTCTTGGGAAGGACTCGACGGGTGGACAAAAATGCCAAATCCATCTGGCCGACTGCGCGATGGAACGATAATAATTCAAGGTGGACAACTATCCTCTCCACTCATCCGTTGACATACATTTGACAGGCTCAAGAACGGGCTGTCTTAGCTTTCTCCAGAAGCCACAGAAAGAGAATTGATATCCACCACGCAGCTACGGTCCTTACCCAAGTTTTTCTGGCATTTGGTTTGATTTTAAAAAGTTAACATCCTGCAATGTGTAGTAGTATCCTCGGCTTAGGATGTCGAAAACGAAGACCGCGAAGAGCTGAAGCGAATATCTTCCTGGCAACTTTCTGTGTGGTCCGCGGTTTCTCTTAACAACGGATGACGTCGCGAAGGGTTTAGGCCTCAACCGTCTGTAGCTGTTGATCCAGCCGGGATAAAGAATTGTCACTCTGATTCCCAGCCTGGTTCCCGTTGACGGTGCTCTCCGGCAAAGATTTCTTGGTGTTTGACCTACATGAGGAAAAGGGAAGTCGGGAAAATGAGTAAATGTGGAATCTCTGTAAACTTTCTGGCAGACGTTTCGTTACCCAACTAGGTAACATCATCAGGGCTGTTGAGTGTGAGGTTTGCTGCCTGTTTATATATACGGCAGACTTAGGACCACGAATGAACCCAGAATTGATGTTGCTCAGTGAGAAATTGGTTAAGTGAGTTTTGCCCCATTTTACGACCTTTCCTGCCACATTTGTGAAGTGAATCACTGCAGTTGTTAAACTTAAGCTCTTCCTTCTCCTTGTTTTCCTCCCTTCCTTCCTTCCTTCCTTCCTTCCTTCCTTCCTTCCTTCCTTCCTTTTTTTTTTTAAATTTGATTTATATGCCACCCTTCTCCGGAGACTCAGGGTGGCTTACAGTGCGTTAAGCAATAGCCTTCATCCTTTTGTATATTTATACAAAGTCAGCTTATTGCCCCCACAATCTGGGCCCTCAATTTACCTACCTTAGAAAGGATGGAAGGCTGAGTCAACCTTGAGCCTGGCGAGATTCGAACCTGCAGTAATTGCAGGCAGCTGGTTTTAATAACAGGGTCCTTTAGACCACTGTACTACCAAGGCTCTTCCTTCCTTCCTTCCTTCCTTCCTTCCTTCCTTCCTTCCTTCCTTCCTTCCTTCCTTCCTTCCTTCCCTTCCTAAGCAATAGCACTTAGGCTGCAAGGCTGAGCCAATAGCACTAACCCTTAGACTTATATACCACTTCACAGTGCTTTGCAGTCCTCTCTAAGCGTTTTACAGAGTCAGCACCTTGCCCCAAAAATCTGGGTCTTCATTTTACCGACCTCGGAAAGGATGGAAGGCTGAGTCAACCTTGAGCCAATCAGGATCAAACTCCTGGCAGTCAGCAGAATTAGCCTGCAAAACTGCATTTTAGCAACTGCGCCACCCCCTACTCATTGTAGTTGATGGGCTACATCTGTCAGCACTTCAAGCTGCATTTACTTTAGTGCTGACATAAGAAGGAGAAGCGGAGGCGTCTGGAAAGGGACGTTTGACTTTTCACCTACTTATTTTCCCTGGAGATAATATCCCCTAGGAGATGGGATGGGAGGGGGGAAATTCCTTTGAGCTGGAGCAGTAGATTAGGGGTAGAGTGACTTGGAAGATGGCCAATGAGTGCAGAGGAGTGGGGAACGGAAAGGGAGGGTTTTGGGTCTGGAAGTCAGTATTGGCTGCGATGGAGTCGGAGTTAGAATGTCGTGCTTAATAAATGGGAGTTTTCCTTCAAAGACTTTGTTTGAAATGCAATTTATTTGAGATTTCTCGGACAAGGTTGGAAGTTATAAAAATAAGGAATCTCGATGAATCGAGAATGCTTTGCAGCTGCAGGCCACCTACCTCACTTCCTCGTATTTTTTCCCTCTGTAAAACTGGCTCTTTCGAAGAAGATACAGCAGCACCAAGTCGCAGAGAAATGCTCCCTGGGTGGGTTGGATGGCAGAAACAATTCCATGTGAACCGAGTGGAAAATCCACTGTGCTAAACAGTTAACTTTTTAAAAAAATGGTTTCTTATTTGCAGTTGCATGCAAATAATGAGGGTTTTTAAATTATATTTGATTATGTTATTTTATTTTATTTTATTTTTTAATTTTTTTTTTATTTTTTAAACAAACAAACATAAAACCATTATCAATTTGCAAACAGTGTGTCGGTTGGTTACAAGTCTTTTGTGCATCATTCGCCAAATTCATAGTTTACAGTTTTCAATTTACCTAGATTCTCATATCATCAATCTATATGTTGTTATCCTCATTAATCATTTGTTTAGATATAACTATTTCTTCCCACATTATCATTCAAAGTATTCTAAGATTTGACTTAATTTTTATTTATGACATTCATTTGTTTTATTTTTAAAGCCAAAAGAGCAGCTTTAGATGACCAGATAATAAGATATATAACATTTTAATACAGTGGTGGGAGTCAAATAATTTAATAACAGGTTCTGTGGGCGTGACTAGGTGGTCATGTGACTAGGTGGGCGTGGCTAGGTGGTCATGTGACTGGGTGGGCGTGGCTAGGTGGTCATGTGATTAGGTGGGCATTACAGGTAGTTCTCAACATACAACACAACAGTTCGTTTAGTGACGCTTCAGAGTGATAGTAGCATTGAAAAAGTGACTTATGACCGTTTTTCACACCTACGACCCTTGCTGTATCCCCGTGGTCACAGGATCAGAATTCGGATGCTTGGCAACTCACTCATATTTATGACGGTTGCAGTGGTCCGGGGTGACATGATCCCCTTTTGCGACCTCCTGACAAGCGAAGTCAACGGGATTCATTTAACAACCGTGTTAGTAACTTAACACCTGCAGTGATTCACTTAACAACTGTGACAAGAAAGGTCGTAAAATGGGGCAAAGCTCACTTAATAAATGTTTCACTTAGTGGCAGAAATGTTGGGCTCAATTGTCGTAAGTCAAGGACTCCCTGTAATAAGGTAATAAGATAATAAGACAATAGTCCTTGACTTATGACCACAATTGGGAGCAGGATTTCACTTTGCTTAGCAAAGTGGTTGTTAAGTGAATCGCACCTAATTTTGTCACCTTTTTTGCCATGGTCGCTAAGTGAATCACTGCAGTCATTAAGTGAATCGTGCGGTCATTAAATGATTCCAGATTCCCTCATTGACTTTGCTGGTTGGAAGCCAGCTGAGGAGGTCCCAAATGATTATCACGTCATTCCAGAACCATAAATTTATGATTCCAGAATCATAAATACCGCTTATCAAGCGCTTGAATTATGATCACGTGACTGTGGGAATGCTGCAACGGTCATAAGTGCGAGGACTGATTGTAAATCACTTTTATCATAATTTTGAACCATCGCTAAATGAACGGTTGTAAATCGAGGACAGCCTTTGATCCAGCAATTGCTGCTTGCTTCCATCCCGAATCAGAATAGAATAGAATAGAATAGAATGGAATGGAATGGAATGGAATGGAATGGAGGAATGAAGAATAGAATAGAATGGAATGGAATGGAATGGAATGGAATGGAATAGAGGAATGAAGAATGGAATGGAATGAAGAATAGAATAGAATAGAATAGAATAGAATAGAATAGAATAGAATAGAATAGAATAGAATAGAATAGAATAGAATAGAATAGAATAGAACAGAACAGAACAGAACAGAACAGAACAGAACAGAACAGAACAGAACAGAACAGTGGAATGAAGAACGGAATGGAATGGAATGGAATGGAATAGAATAGAATAGAATAAGGAATGGAATGGAATGGAATAGAATAGAGGAATGAACAACGGAATAGAATAGAATAGAATAGAATAGAATAGAATAGAATAGAATAGAATAGTGGAATGAAGAAGAGAAGAGAAGAGAACAGAGGAATGAAGAATGGAATGGAATGGAATGGAATAGAATAGAATAGAATAGAAGAATGAAGAATGAAATGGAATGGAGGAATGAAGAATAGAATGGAATAGAATAGAGTAGAGTAGAGTAGAATAGAATAATTTTATTGTCACTTTTACACTAATCGGCATACATTAAAAATGAAATTTTGTTGCATATAGCTCTTAAAGGCTCATCACTTCCAATATAGCACTACATAAACATGACAAGATAAATACAAAATTATATGACACAGAGAAACATCACAGTCTAGTTCGGGTGTATACAGTACATGTACATGGTGAGAAAAATGAATCTTGCGAATTTACTAGACAGATGGCCTAGGGAACAAAGAAGTTACAGAATCTGGTAGTCCTTCTGTAGATACTTCAAAACCTCCTCCCAGGGCGGAGCAACAGAAACAGAACCGTGAAGTAGGTGAGTGGGGTCTCTAACAATGCTTTGAGCTCTAGGCACACAGCGCTTACAAGCAGTATCCTGAATAAAGGAAAGTGAGTTTCCTATAATCTTCTCCACTGTCCTCACCACTCTCTGTAGGGACTTTCTATCTGAGGCACTGCTGCCACCAACCCAAACAGGGATGCAGTTTGTTAAATTGACTTACCACTCCCATTAGCGCAAGACTGGAACCCACGTTGATTACCGTTGGGATGATGTTAAATTTCCCTGCCTGAAAAAAACCAAAAAAAAAGAGTGAATTTGTGAGATGTGCACAGATTTTAACGTTTCTACAGGTAGTCCTTGACTCACAACCACAATTGGGCCCCAAAATTTCTGCTGCTAAATGAGACAGTCGCTAAGTGAGTTTTGCCCCATCATACAACCTTCCTTGCGGCGGTTGTTAAGTGAATCACTGCAGTTCTTCAGTAAACAACATGGCTTCCCCATTGATTTTGCTCGTCAGAAGGTCGCAAAAGGGAATTGTGCGACCCCCAGGACACTGCAAACGTTATAAATATGAGTCAGTTGCCCAATGTCTGAGTTTTGATCATGTGACTGTGGGAATGCTGAAACGGTCGTAAGTGCGAAAAACACACATGGGTCACCTTTTTCAGGGCCTTTGTAACTTCGAACCATCACTAAACTGTTGTAAGTCGAGGACTTCCTGAACTGGTTAGACCGGTGTTTCTCAAAGCTGCGTGGATGTCAACTCCCAGAATTCCCCAGCAGGACCTCTGGCTGGGGAATTCTGGGAGTTGAAGTCCACACAGCTTAAAGTGGCCAAGGTTGAGAAACAATGGCTTAAAGAGCACCGGTATCAAACTCGCTGCGTCACGTTGCCGTCACGTGATATATCACAAAAATGTTTCCCTTTCGTGGAACTGGGGTGGGCGTGGCCCGCGCATGATGCATCCAGCCTGCGGGTCGCCAGTTTGATACCCCTGGCTTTGAGCCTTAGACAGTTCCAGTGGTGGGTTGCCCCCAGTTCGGACCGGTTCGGAAGAACCGGTAGTAAAACCAGCGGGAGGCTCCGCCCACCGCCCCGGATGTCACCCTAGGCCCGTGATGGCGAACCTATGGCACGGGTGCCACAGGTGGCACGTGGAGCCATATCTGTAAGCATGTGAGCGTTGCGCTAGCTCAGTTGATTTTTGGGCCTTCCAGGCCCACTGGAAGTTGGGAAACCCCATGTCAGTTAATCCTTAGTTGGGTAACTTTCAGCCTGAATGACGGCCTTACAACGTCTTCCCATGGAGGGAACCAATTCTTTGAGTTCTGCAGCTGTTCTCATGTGAAACCAAGATTGAATGATGGCTTCGCTTAACTGGGTTTTATTGCTGGGTCGCTTCTGACTAACCAGTTTCTTTAGTCGGCTCCCTAGATTTTCCATTGGGTGAAGATCTGGGCTATTCCCAGGCCATTCCAGCTGTGGAATATCTTGAAACTCCAAAAAAAAAAAAAAAAAAAAGGTGTTATTAGCCATCAAACCTCAAAAATACAATTTTTCCCAAAAGGTTTCCACAATTTTGGCCACACAACACCGACACTGACATCCCCTAAACTCTGCTGATGATGTTACCTAGACTGGTAACAAAACGTTCAAAACTAAACCCACAAGCTCGGAGAACAAACCTCCACCTTCATCCTACACCCGAGCTACAGATATTTTGCCATCATCGCAAATCTGTTTTGCTTTTTTCCCCCAGTTGTGCCTGAGATCACCTTGCCGTTCACCATGATATCAAAACGGATCCCGTAAGCTTTGATCAGCGTTCGGAAATCAACATCAGCCGCGCTCCGGTAATACTTGGCAAATCTGAAAAGAAAATAAATCATAAAATGTCATACGATTTATTTTTTCTGAGCAAAAGAAAATTTTCTTTTCTTTCTTTTTTCCTGTGGCTTCATTGCTGGTTGAATCATGACAGACTTACTGCCTGATTACAGGCAGTCCTCGCCTTACAGCCACTCATTTAGTGACCATTTGAATTTACAACGGCACTGAAAAAAGTGACTTACGACTGTTGCAACATCCTCGCGTGATCAAAATTCAGACGCTGTCGAAACTGGCATGTATTTATGACAGTTGCAACGTGCCGGGATCATGTAATTGCCTTTTGTGACCTACTGATGAGTAAAATCAATGGGGATTGATCCGCTTAACAACCGTGTTACTAACTTCACAACTGCAGGAGTGGTGGGTTTCAAAATTTTTTACCGGTTCTGTGGGTGTGGCTTAGTGGACGTGGCATGGCTTGGTGGGCATGGCTTGGTGGGCTTGGCAGGGGAAGGATACTGCAAAATCTCCATTCCCTCCCCACTCCAGGGGAAGGATACTGCAAAATCCCCATTCCCTCCCCAGTCCAGGGGAAAGATACTGCAAAATATCCATTCCCACCCCACTCCAGGGGAAGGATACTGCAAAATCCCCATTCCCTCCACACTCCAGGAGAAGGATACTGCAAAATCTCCATTCCCTCCCCACTCCAGGGGAAGGATACTGCAAAATCCCCATTCCCACCCCACTCCAGGGGAAGGATACTGCAAAATCTCCATTCTCTCCCCACTCTAGGGGAAGGATACTGCAAAATCTCCATTCCCTTCCTACTCCAGGGGAAGGATACTGCAAAATCCCCATTCCCACCCCATTCCAGGGGAAGGATACTGCAAAATCCCCATTCCCTCCACACTCCAGGGGAAGGATACTGCAAAATCTCCATTCCCACCCCACTCCAGGGGAAGGATACTGCAAAATCCCCATTCCCTCCACACTCCAGGGGAAGGATACTGCAAAATCCCCATTTCCTCCCGATCAGCTGGGACTCCGGAGGGTAGAGAATAGATGGGGGGCGGGGCCAGTCAGAATTTTTACAACCGGTTCTTCGTACTACTCAAAATTTCCGCTACCGGTTCTCCAGAACCGGTCAGAACCTGCTGAAAAACCCACCTCTGAACTGCAATGATTAGCTTAACAATTGTGGCAAGAAAGGTGTAAAATGGGGCAAAACTCCCTCACTTAGCAACGGAAAATTTGGGCTCAATGGGGGTCGTAAATTGAGGATTACCTCTAACGAAAGTCATTAATGTTATTATCTATCACCTCTGTTACAAGAATGCCCCCAGATTTTCTGCCGTCTCCTGGGAAGATAAGACTTCATGGATGTTGTGAGGTAGTGTCGCGGCCTCTCGGCCGCCGGCCCCTCCACCAGCCGAATCAGAGGAGGAGGAGGTGGTGTGGGACTCAGAGTCAGCATCAAGGCAACCTGAGAGCTCCGAGGGGGAAGAGGGAATGGAGCTAGCAGAGAGAGAGAGAGACAGAGGCGGAGCCTGGGCCGTCCGTCAGCCCCCAGATGGAGAGTCAACAGCCCCCAGGACTGGAGGTGGCTGATGAGGAAGAGGAGGAACAGCTGGGTCCTGTGCCTGACGCTCGGATGCACAGAAGGCAGAGGAGAGGAGAGCAGTGGAAATCCATGGGCCGGTCCTCGGGATGGAAGAGCCACCTCTGCTAACGAAGTCCCACTCATAGTTTTGGGAATTAAATGCAAGGGACGGAAATGAATAGATGTGGCAGACAACTATTAATCTCCCTGCCAGATGGACTTGTTAGCCTGTGGTGAGAAAAAAAACTTTTTGCCAGGACTGCTGGCGCACTTAACAGAGGAATCTTTGAGTTCACTTCAGAGGGTTGGTCGTGTTTGGGCACCTGGGTCAGAACAGGTAGCTCAAGCTTATGCCTCTTGCAACTAATGTAGGTAAATGCGGGTCCAGCTGGATGATCACTGAAGGGCCCTCTTTATTCATAGTATTGTAGGAAAGAAAATGCGCTTGCAAATTAACCAGTTGAGACAGCACAAAGGCAGAACAAAAGTTCCTTTGAAGTAGAAACATTCAGAGAGGGGGCCCCTCAGTTGTCAGAGATAAGAGACATTTGGTGATATACAGTATGAAGGTTAAAGAGATCAAGTATGACCACATGTGATATTAACAAGAGATAATTTGAATCTATGCTTCAGTAATTTACATGAAGAATTATGACTTGGCAAAGAATAATATGAAACAGTAATTAGGAAATGTCAATTAAATATGACAAATGTATATGATCACATAAACTGCTGAGTTAACAGAACCCTTTGTCTTAGAAGAGTATAAAAACCATTGTACCTAATTTCTGTCCTTGTTCAACCCTTCATGTACAGAGCTTTGAACCTATTGCGCAATATACAATGTCTCTGGCTAACCCTGAAAAGTTGTGTTGGTCTTATTAAATCCACAACACAACCAATCTTCTCCCTTTTAAAATTTTAAAATTTAAATTTTAAACACTAATTTTAATTTGTTTAATTATGGGATAGTTTTAAAATTTAGCCAAATTGTTTAATCTGTTTTAATCTATTTTAAATTTTGTATCTCTGTGTTTTATCTTTTGGCTGTTCACCGCCCTGAGTCCTTCGGGAGAAGGGCGGTATAGAAATTTAATAAAATAAATAGATAAATAAATAAATGCAAGGATTCCAAGCTAGGCCCTCACTTGACTCTTCCTTCCTTCCTTCCAGCCTGGCTGACCTGATCAATGAAATCCCATCGGATTTGGCCACTGAAGCCATTTCGGAAAGACCGAACTGCCGAAGTTGCGGATTGAGGATGCTTCGGCCAAACGCCTCTTTCTCCTTTACCTGAAGTTGTATCCAGAGGAGACAGACTTCTCCGCAAATGTGTTATCTAGGCGACTGAAAGAATAGCGAGGGTTGCATTCCGACGGCTTTTTATCCAAGTTGCAGTCCCATTCAATCTGGATGCCAATCACACCCCCCTGGATTAAAAACAAAACATAACAGAGGAAGTTTTTCTTCAGTTTTGGAAGAAGATCGGGAAATTGTTTTCCCTCAAAAACGTTGGGAGATCCACCAGGCTGGCTCCACGGCCTGTCCTAAATGCAGGTGGTCCTTGACTTACAACTGGTTGCATAACGATTCAAAGTTACAACGGGCCCACCCCCCCAATAGGTATTTACGACCTACTTCTGAAGTTCTGATGGCTATTTAGGGTGGGTCTGGATGGGGAGAAACAGGCTTTGACTCAACCCTTCCAAGACCGAGTGGCTGTGGCTTCCGGCGTCCCGATATAGCCAGCTGGTGCCATCTCTGACTATCGGGGGCGAGTCGTTGGCCCCCGCGGAGAGGGCTCGTAACTTGGGCGTCCTCCTGGACGCATGGCTGTCTTTGGAAGAGCATATGATGGCCGTGGCCAGGGGGGCTTTTTATCAGGTTCGCCTGATTCGCCAGTTGCGTCCCTTTCTGGATCGGGACTCCTTACACACGGTCACTCAGGCACTCGTCACTTCCCGCCTGGACTACTGTAATTCTCTCTACATGGGGCTCCCCTTGAAGAGCACCCGGAGGCTCCAACTGGTGCAAAATGTGGCCACGCGGGGGATTATGGGAGCGAGGGGGCATTCCCATGTGACACCTCTCCTGCGTGAGCTGCATTGGCTTCCGGTGGTCTTCCGGGTGCGCTTCAAGGTGTTGGTTACCACCTTTAAAGCGCTCCATGGCTTAGGGCCTGGGTACTTACGGGACCGCCTTCTGCCACCGATAGCCTCCCACCGGCCAGTACGCTCCCACAGAGAGGGGCTCCTCAGGGTGCCGTTGGCCAGACAATGTCGGCCGGCGACCCCCAGGGGGAGAGCCTTCTCTGTGGCGGCACCTGCCCTCTGGAACGATTTGCCCCCAGGGATATGTAGGATACCAGATCTCTGTGCTTTTCGCCGTGCCCTTAAAACTTTTTTATTTCATCAAGCTGGACTGGCGTAATCCCCCCTTAGATATTTTTAGATATTTTTAACCGTAAATTGATTTTAGTTGGGCTGTTTTAAATTTTTTGGGCCAAAAATTTGTTTAATTCTTTTAAAAAAAAATTAAATTTTGTATCTGATGTTTTTATTCATGGCTGTTCACCGCCCTAAGTCCAGCAGGAGAAGGGCGGTATAAAAATTTAATAAAATAAAATAAAATAAATATTCGCAGCGTTCTGTGGACATCTAAATGTGATTTATATCACGCTTAGGCATGAAAACCAGTTGAGTGACTTTGGGCCAATCACCAGGAGATGGTGAGTTCTAGTCCCGCCTTAGGCATGAAAACTGGCTGGGTGAGTTTGAGCCAATCAACAGGAGACGGTGAGTTCTAGTTCCAATTTAGGCATGAAAGCCATCAGGGTGACTTTGGACCAATCACCAGAAGACAGTGAGTTCTAGTCCCGCCTTAGGCATGAAAGCCGGCTGGGTGACTTTGGGCCAATCAACAGGAGACGGTGAGTTCGAGTCCCGCCTTAGGCATGAAAGCCAATTAGGGAACTTTGGGTCAATCACCAGGTAAAAGTGAATTCTAGTCCTGCCTTAGGCATGAAAGCCATCAGGGTGACTTTGGACCAATCACCAGAAGACAGTGAGTTCTAGTCCCGCCTTAGGCATGGAAGCCGGCTGGGTGAGTTTGAGCCAATCACCAGGAGACGGTGAGTTCTAGTTCCAATTTAGGCATGAAAGCCATCAGGGTGACTTTGGACCAATCATCAGAAGACAGTGAGTTCTAATCCCGCCTTAGGCATGAAAGCCGGCTGGGCGACTTTGGGCCAATCAACAGGAGATGGTGAGTTCTAGCACCACCTTAGGCATGAAAGGTCACTGGGTGACTTGGGACCAATCACCAGGAGACAGTGAATTCTAGTCCCACCTTAGGCATGAAAGCCAGCTGGGTGACTTTGGGCCAATCACTAGGAGGAGATCCCTTTATGACGGACCACCAGCTAAAAGGAAGGAGCAGCCCACTTTTTCCCCCATACCTCTGATGCCATCTCGTGGAAGTTGCTCCCAGCCCAGTTGACCAGTTTCCCCAGTGAGAAGATGGGGCAGTACGGTTGGTCTGCTCCATAGTGACAATTTTTCAAATAAGCATTGTTTTTGGTGTCGAGGACGTTGGTTCTACATCCGAAAGACAGGGAAGTAAGAAAGGTATTCAAAAAATCAGCAACACAGGCTGTCTCGCTATTGCAATGGTCATTAAGTGAGGTAATCCTCACTTAATGACCATTCATTTAGCAACCGTTCGAAATATATGACGGTGCTGAAAACAATAACCGATGCTGAAGGGCAAGCTACTCCAGGTTAGTCCTCGACTTATAACAATTCATTTAGTGACCGTTCAGTGGTTACAGTGCCACGGGAAAAAGTGACTTACGTCCGTGTTTCACACTTACGGCCGTGGCAGCATCCTCACGGTGACATGATCAAAATTAAGATGCTTGGCAACTAGTTCATATTTATGACGGGTTTCATTGTCCCTTTTGCGACCTTCTGACAAGCAGAATCAATGAGGTTGCCAGATTCACTTAACGTCCATGTTACTGACTTAACAACGGCAGTGATTCCCTTAACGACGGTGGCAAGAAATTTCGCGAAAGGGGGGCAAAACTCATTTAACAACGGTCTTGCTTAGCAACGGAATTTTTTGGGCCCAGTTTGTGGTCGTAAATCGAGAACTACCTGCACCGGACTTTATTAAATAGGAATGCTTGTTCTGGTGGGCACATTCTTCTTTTTTCATGTACCTATTGTTTTTTATAATTGTAATGTTTTATGCTGCCCAGAGTCTTAGGGAGCTGATGGCCTTCGAAATTTAATTTAAAAAAATATGTTAAAACATGGGACGCTATCAGTTGGAATTTCAGTCTTCCAGCAGCACTTAAATCAGTCATGTTGTGATTTAGGCTTCCTGAGTCATTAAAATACAGAGAGTCGTCCCAAAAACCTCTTTTATTGCAACAGCTGTGAATTACGTTCATTCACAGCTGAGTCCCAATTAGTTGCAAAAAATCCTTTGGAATAATCACCAACCTTTATCTCCCTTGACACTCTGCCAAAGACCTACTTGGCAAAGCCACACAGAGTCCAGAATCAAACAGAGATGCCGACTGGAAACAGAATTAACAACGTTGCTTTCCTACAAAGGGCCCACGTGCCTTTGCTCCTCTTTTAAGCCTTATTGGAGGGGCCAATCATCTCCAGGCCTTACTCCTGAGTCATCCCTTTAGTTTTAACTATTCTTGCCTTCTGGCAGCTCTGCGCATGGGCGCACTAGGAACAGGCTCCTCCTGTTCCTCTGCCTCTCTGCGGTCCGACTCTGGAGGCTCCGGAGTCCGCGTATAACTCCCAGATAGCCCTGGCCCCATCTCTGCCTCCGACACAGAGCCCTCGTCCGGGCCTCCCCCGACTCCAGGACTGGCCCATGGGCCTCCCCAGCCTCCTCACTATCCGACTGCGCTACCAGCTCTGCAGGCTGCTGGCGGACCACGAGAGGTCATCTTGGAAAAGCTGTTTATTGTTCCTTTCCTTTTCGTAATCTCCTCTCCCATAAATGTTGATCTACATATCCACAGAGCCCTCTTCTGTTTGTTTTTTTCTCCCAACCTGACTTCTCCCAAAATTTGGCAACTTGTTCCAGCAGGCAGAACATTTCCTAGAATGGTGACAAAAACGATTAAAAGAAGAAAAAAAAGAAGGAGGAAAAACTTACTTGGAAAAATTAAACTTAGGAAAACGGATGCTGTTCTTAACGTAAACCGTGAAATTCTCCGCATCGGCCAGAAGAGCTGATCTTAAAAATGAATAAATAGATTGGTTAAGTGAATTCTTTCAGAGCAGAAATAGAAATAGAAATAATAGAAATAGAAATAGAAATAGAAAAAATAGAAATAGAAATAAATAGAAATAGAAATAAATAGAAATAGAAATAATAGAAATAGAAATAATAGAAATAGAAATAGATAGAAATAGAAATAAATAGAAATAGAAATAATAGAAATAGAAATAAATAGAAATAGAAATAATAGAAATAGAAATAATAGAAATAGAAATAAATAGAAATAGAAATAGAAATAATAGAAATAGAAATAAATAGAAATAGAAATAATAGAAATAGAAATAGAAATAGAAAATAGAAATAGAAATAGAAATAATAGAGATAGAAATAATAATAGAAATAGAAATAAATAGAAATAATAGAAACAGAAATAGAAATAAATTAGAAATAGAAATAGAAATAGAAATAAATAGAAATAGAAATAATAGAAATAGAAATAGAAATAATAGTAATAGAAATAGAAATAATAGAAATAGGAATAGGAATAGGAATAGATATAACAGAGTTGGAAGGGACCTTAGAGGTCTTCTAGTCCAACCCCCTGCTCAGGCAGGAAACCCTACACCACTTCAGACAAATAGTTGTCCAACATCTTCTTAAAAAATTCCAGTGATGGAGCATTTACAACCTCTGGTGGCAAGCTGTTCCACTGGTTAATTGTTCTAACTGTTAGGAAATTTCTCCTTAGTTCTAGGTTGCTTCTCCCCTGGTTTCTATCCATTGATCCCTGTCCAGTAGACTTACAGTGATGTCACAAAGAAGTCAAATCCGTTATATGAGTAGTCCTTGACTTACAACGATGAATTCAACAATTGTTCGAAGTTACAGAATCCTGGTGTTACGTGATCACTACCTGCAACCTTCCCTGCTGGCTTCTGACAATGGGGAAGCTGGAGTTGCTTAGCAACTGCAGTGATTCACTTAACAACCGTAGGGGGAAAAAAAGGCCGTAAAATCAGGCACGTCTCTCTCTCTGTCTTAACAACCGTCTCGCTCAGCAACAGACGTTCTGAAATTATTTGTGGTCATAAATCAAGGACTTCCTGAAGTTTCCATATCACGATGGAATCACGGACGCAGAGACGGTGGGCTCCCCTTTTTAGGTTCAAATTGCGTGCCATTTCTCACAGATGCTTTAACTTGAATTCTATACTGAGTGAGGGGTTGACTAGATGACCTCAAGGGACCCTCCCAATTCTAGCCTTCGAGGCCTCAGCTTCTATGGAAAAGATGTTTTGTTTTGTGGGTTTGTCTGTTTTTTTCCGAACTCACTTTTTTTTGTCTTTCTTCTCCACCGGGCACCAAGCTAGGATTTCGCACGTCCCGCTGATATTATTCCCCATTTTTATACATATTCCGGTCTTGATACCTGTAGGAGCGAAGGAAAGGATTAGAAAAACGTCAGCCAGGTTATAATTTTGTGAATCGCTGAAATAATTTTTCAGGTGGGCTCGGGAGGAGGGATAATGGCAGGCACGGTGGCAGAGAGGTCAAAAAAGTCAAGATGGCGGTCGCAACCGAACACACTACACACGGCAAATGGGTGGAGTTGTAAACTCACCTTTGCAAAGTCTGTTTTGAGGTGGGTTTGGTTTTTCTTTTTGCAAAAAGGTTTTTATTTTTTTTTCCAAACATACAAATTACATCCTTTCGGAAAAAGAGCTTTGATCCGGTCATCACTTTTGTTCAATTTTTAACAAAATCTTTAACAAAATTTTATCTATTCTATTTTGCCATAGCACTTATTTCTAAATCTTAGATCACATATACAAAAAAAATTAACACATATTTACTTAATCAAAACAGTAACCCTTCTATTAACTCACCTTAATTCTTAATTCAATTAATAACTTATAATACAACAATTCTTACCCTAAATCCTCACTATTAACAATACAATTCAAACATATTTATGTTTCATTATGCTCATTAACTCTTTATTCCATTATTACTTTTATCAAATTTAAATCTTACCTTTTTAATTTTAAAAATATAGCAATTTAACATTTAAACATAGTTCTTAATTCAAATAATGCTCTTTAACACAATTTCCCAATTATCCTAAATTCTAACAAACCATACCATTTATATAATACCAATTAAGTAATTTTTGTTTATAAATCATAATCATATATTGTTTCAGTTTTCTTTTCTTTTTCACTTAGGTAATAAATGTTCAAATTATCACAATTGTTATACATATCTAAACAATATCCCAATTATTATAGCTATCAATTTTCTAATTTAACCTTTTCTTTTATCCTTCCACTGTTAATTCCAATGTACAAAATACATCTTTATTCCACTGTTAATCCCAGTGTAATCATCTTTATTTTTCTCACTGTTAATCCCAGTGTAATCATCTGGGGTGACAGGAATATCTCTCTTTGCAGCTCGGAAAAAAGTGTCCGGTTTAGGAAATAAGGAAAGGCTAAAATTATCCTTTGGAAAAACAATTTTAAAGCCCCTTCAAATCCACCCAAGGAAAATGTCTATGGAGATTCTCAGCCATCCAGATCATGGTTGTTCCAAAGGTCCTTTTTTTCAAGAGGCAACTGGAATTTCTTGTTTTTTCTTTTGAAGACGTTTCGCTTCTCATCCAAGAAGCTTCTTCAGCTCTGACCGAATGGCGGGGAATGGAAGGATTTATACTCCTTGCAGACAGCTGGTCATTTGCATCCTTTTAGGGAGGCCTTGAGGCCACTTGGAGATTTATCTGTCCTCAGGATCACCTGAGTGGTGCAAATGGGTGTGGAGCCTTCTTGGAACTGCTGAAAGGATGATGATGATGATGATGATGATGATGATGATTATTATTATTATTATTATTATTATTATTATTATTATTATTATTATTATTATTTATTGAATTTGTATACCGCCCTACTCCCGAAGGACTTAGGGCAGTGAACAGCCAAATAAAATACATATAATACAAATGTTAAAAAACCATTAAAATACAATTAAATAATTGGCCCGGAAAACAAAATTTAAAACACCCCAAATTCATAAGACAAATTTAAAATTTAAAAATTTTAAAAGTTTTGAAAAAACAGTTTAAAAGAGAGATTAGGCCAGGCCGGCCTGCTGGAAAAGAAATGTTTTGATGGCACGGCGGAAAGCGTGCAGGTCTGGGATCCTCCGTATCTCCGGGGGGAGCTTGTTCCAGATGGCGGGTGCCCCCCACAGAGAAGGCTCTCCCCCTGGGGGCCGCCAGTCGACATTGTTTGGCCGACGGCACCCTGAGGAGCCCCTCTCTATGGGAGCGTACTGGTCGGTGAGAGGCTACTGGTGGCAGAAGGCGGTCCCGTAGATACCCCGGTCCTAAGCCATGGAGCGCTCTAAAGGTGGTAACCAAAACCTTGAAGCGCACCCGGAAGACCACCGGGAGCCAGTGCAGCTCGCGCAGGAGGGGGGGTCACATGGGAGCGCCCCGTCGCTCCCATAACCACCCGCGTGGCCGCATTCTGGACCAGCTGGAGCCTCCGGGTGCTCCTCAAGGGGAGCCCCATGTAGAGAACGTTGCAGTAGTCCAGGCAGGAAGTGACGAGGGCATGAGTGACCGTATTTAACAAGTCCCTTTCCAGAAAGGGACGCAACTGGCGATTGTGTTATAGAAAACTCCACACCCATTGATTGGATCCTGAGGACACAGACAAACCTCCAAGTGGCCTCAACGACCCTCTAAAAGGATGCAAATGACCAACTGTCTGCAAGGAACGTAAATCCTTCCATTCCCCCACCATCCAGTCAGAGCGGAAGAAGCTTCTTGGAGGAGAAGCGAAACGTCTTCAAAGAAAAACCAGAAAGTCCAGTTGCCTCTTGAAAAAAAAGGGAAAAAAAACTTTGGGACATCCAGGGAAAACTTAGATTTTTAATGTTATTTACATCTTTTGTTTATTATTATTATTTATTTATTTTATTTTATTAGATTTCTATACCGCCCTACTCCCGAAGGACTCAGGGCGGTGCACAGCCAAACAATAAAAACACATACAATACAAAATTTAAAAATAGAATAAAATCAAATTAAATAATTTTGGCCCTGACAAATTTAAAACCCCAAACTTTTAAAACCAATTTAAAATTGAATATATAAAATACTAAAAGATATTTAAAAATTTAAAAATCTTTTATAAAAGAGGGGGAAAATTAGGCCAGGCCGGCCTGGTGAAATAGTAAGGTCTTTAAGGCACGGCGGAAGGTGCGCAGATCCGGGATCCTCCGTATCTCTGGGGGGAGCTCGTTCCAGATAGTAGGTGCCCCCACAGAGAAGGCTCTCCCCCGGGGGCCGCCAGTCGGCATTGTTTGGCTGACGGCACCCGGAGGAGCCCCTCTCTATGGGAGCGTACCGGCCGGTGGGAGGCTATTGGTGGTAGTAGGCGGTCCCGCAAGTACCCGGGTCCTAAGCCATGGAGCGCTTTAAAGGTGGTAACCAGAACCTTGAAGCGCACCTGGAAGACCACCGGGAGCCAGTGCAGCTCGCGCAGGAGGGGTGTTACATGGGAACGCCATGTCGCTCCCATTACCACCCGCGCGGCCGCACTCTGCACCAGTTGGAGCCTCCGGGTGCTCCTCAAGGGGAGCCCCATGTAGAGAGCATTGCAATAGTCCAGGCGGGAGGTGACAAGGGCATGAGTGACCGTGCGTAACGAGTCCCGATCCAGAAAGGGACGCAACTGGCGAATCAGGTGAACCTGATGAAAAATCCTCCCGGTCACGGCCATCAAGTGCTCTTCTAAAGACAGCCGTGAATCCAGGAGGACGCCCAAGTTGCGAGCCCTCTCCGTGGGGGCCAATGATTCGCCCCCAATAGTCAGTGATGGTGTCAACTGACTATATCGGGACGTCGGAAACCACAGCCACTCAGTCTTGGATGGGTTGAGCCTGAGCCTGTTCCTCCCCATCCAGATCCCTATGGCCTCCAGGCACCGGGACATCACTTCAAGGGCATCGTTGGGGTGATCCGGGGTGGAGATGTACAGCTGGGTGTCGTCAGCGTACTGATGGTACTCCACCCCGAAACCACGGATGATCTTGCCCAGCGGCTTCACATAAATGTTGAACAGGAGAGGCGAGAGGACCGACCCCTGCGGCACCCCACATATGAGGGGCCTCGGGGTCGACCTCTGTCCCCCTGTCAACACAGACTGTGACCGGTCAGAGAGAAAGGAGGAGAACCACCGCAACACAGTGCCTCCCACCCCCAACTCTTCCAACCGGTGCAGCATGATACCATGGTCAATGGTATCAAAAGCCGCTGAGAGATCTAACAGGACCAGGACAGAGGAGCACCCCCTGTCCCGAGCCCTCCAGAGATCATCCACCAATGCGACCAATGCTGTTTCCGTGCTGTACCCGGGCCTGAAGCCCGACTGGAACGGATCCAGATACGTCATTTCATCCAGGTGCTGGGGGAGATGTTGCGCGACCACACTCTCAACAACCTTCGCAACAAAGCGAAGGTTGGAGACCGGACGATAATTTACCAACATTGCCGGGTCCAGGGAAGGCTTCTTGAGGAGAGGCCTCACCACCGCCTCTTTCAAGGCGGCGGGAAAATCACCCTCACTCAGCGAAGCATTTATAATCCCCTGGAGCCAGCCTCGTGTCACTTCCCGGGAAGCCAGTACTAACCAGGAAGGACACGGGTCCAATAAACAAGTGGTCGCGTTCAGTCTACCCAGAATCCTGTCCACGTCCTCAGGGGTCACAGGATCAAACTCATCCCAGATAACATTCTCAAGACCTGCCCCTGTCTCTCCCCCTGAGACTACCCAGTCGGAGTCCAAATCTTCCCGAATCTGAGTGATTTTGTCATACAGATACTGAACAAAATTCTCGGCTCTACCCTCCAAGGGGTCCTCCCGCGCTTCCTGGTGGAGCAGGGAGCGGGTCACCCTAAAGAGGGCGGCCGGGCGATTATCTGATGACGCAATAAGAGCAGCAAAATAACTACATTTCGCTGCTTTTATCGCCACTAAGTAATTCCTAATGTGGGATCTTACTAGTGTCCGGTCAGATTCAGAAAGACTGGCCCTCCAACTACTCTCTAGGCATCTTTTCTGGTGCTTCAACTCCCTCAGCTCCTCGGTAAACCAAGGAGCCAATTGAGATCAGCACCGGGTCAGAGGCCGCAAAGGCACGACCCGATCCAGAGCACCAGCCGCCGCCCTATCCCAGGCGGCCACCAGGTCTCCAGTCGAGGCGTGTGCCAGAACCTCAGGAAATGGCCCAAGCTCCATCTGGAATCTGTCAGGTTCCATCAGGCACCTGGGGTGGAACCATCTTACTGGCTCCGCCTCCCTGCGGCGGGGTGCAGCGGTTCGAAAGTCGAGACGAAGGAGAGAGTGATCTGACCATGACAAG